CAGGGCGACCGGTCGCCTTTAGTTCCCCTTCAGCAACTTCAGCTCTCCCCGTTTTGACTAACGGCCACCGATTCTAGATCAGGTTGAATGGTGTGCCTTACGCCTTTTTGTTATCTCAGTCCTATGTCCGTCTAGGAAAAGGGAGAATAATGGAGCACGGTGGAGAGCACGTGGGAAGGAAAACTGGGGGGGGACAGGTCCCTGAAACAGCAGTGGGCATGCCGACATCGGTCGTCCAGAGGCGGTAACACTCTGGTTAGCTCAAAGTTGTTTCCGTCTTCCACTCCTGTGTTTCTGGCGCTTGTAGTAAATATACAGGCAGCAAGCAACCAGAAATTTGTTTTTAGTTTACTCTGGAGAGGTGATGGGTTAGGATTACTTAATGATGTCTGCAAATACAACTTTCAGGGTTCTTTGCATAATTTTTACTAGCAAGTTATACTCCGACCTATAAATCCTTTCCTAAAGACCACAAGCAGACAAGTATTTTTTCTATAACAGAACAGTATGCTGAGTTGGACAGTTATTTAACTTGATCCAGGTACAAATCAGTGAAGCGGCCGCAGTTTTAATCTACTCTTCTGCTAAAGCTCCTCTCCCACAGATAGACAAGCCCTAGAGAAGAGCCCTTACAACTTGTGTTAAAGCAGTCATTCAAGAATTCTGTCACAATGTTGGGGGTGCCCAAAATAAACAGAAACTTTCAGGTTCTTGTGACTCCTTAATTTTACTAGTTGTGTTTGAGAAAACACCTTTCCCATCCCACTTTCTTTACTGTTAAACCTGTGACTTATACTGTTAAACAAATGGGATATATTCTCACATGGAACTGGATTTCTCGTTCCTCTTCTGCTGTGCATGCTAGCATGGCAAAGTAAAATAACTAAAACAGCCTCCACGGGCTGATCTCTTCACTTATTCTTGAAGTAGCAAAACTGGAGCTTGTTTTTCAAATATGTATTGTGCATTGATTGTTAGATGAAAGAATGTAAAGCATCTTTACACAATTAACGTCCTTCAGTGTGGAGTTATTTTCTCATTCTACGCAGTAACAGTTGTAAATGCCATTCTATGCAGTTAAATCATCTTTGTCTTGCTTAGCATTAACACTGCAGTTAACCACCGATTCCACCAAGACAGCTATTCCTCCTAAGCCATTGCAAGGTAATTATCTTGCTTTGAATACATTTGTAATTTATCGCAACCAAGAATTCTTAAAGCATCTTTGTTAGGTATTGTCATTATTTTCTTCTAAGAAAGTGGTGTGAAGAAGGCCTTGAATGCTGGCAGAGGTGACAGATCTAACTAATTTACTTACCTTTTTGCCTCTATTTTTTGCATCACAATTGCTCAAGTGTTTTCTTTTGGGTTTTGTTTCCTGTTGTAATCAAAATGGCTGAGCAGTAGATACTAATATATGATTAGGATGAAGCCGGAAACACAGAAGCACCTTCAGTCTCTGCATTATTCCAATTTCTTCAAAATAATCACTGTGTAGCCCTTGCTCTTACTTCTCTTAACAGCTGCAGTCAAAATAGATGCCCTTCCCCAATAAAAGTATCTGTTCGCCTCACTAGATGAATGAAATATCTTTACTTAAAAAGTAAGGGGGTTTTCTGTAAATGTCTCTCTGAAAAAAGGCAACATAATTAATGGAATGTTTTTTTATTAGGCAAATGATGCTGCTTACCCGTAGTCAATTGTATTGCTGCAGAGCATTCTGACAGTTTGTCTGAATTATTTGTGTGCTAGACTTTAAGCTCTTTGGGCAGGAACAATTCTCTCCCAGCATAAGATACATATACAACATTCTGGGTTGACGGTTGGACTCGATGATCTTAGAGGTCTTTTCCAACCTTAATGATTCTATGATTCTATGATTCTATGATTAAACATAATAAAAAAACCTAAAAAATCCACTTCTGTCTCTGCAGGAAAAATGCTGAGAAGTCTGAAAGGACTTGTCTACCATCCTCTAAAGGTAAGTCCTGTAATAGTGTGATGCTGCTTCCAATATTTCAGCTGTCCTGTGATCTGGAATGACAATTTACAACTGTAAAAAGTGAGATTCTTCTTACATTCGTCATCTAAAAACTTGGCGTCTCCTATGAGCTGGTTGTGTAAACTCCCATTATGGGCAAAGGAAAGAGAGCCTGTGTGTGTTACTCCTTCTACATTTCTCTCCCTTGGCTGGAGAGAGAGAACATGCAAGCAAGCCTGGATAGTTGGCTTAAATAAGACATTTGCTAGAGACTGAAGTTAGCATTCTGAAATGTCCAGAATGCTGAAATTCTACATCTCCAGTGCAAGTGTTTCTCAGAAAACAGAATCTACTTGCTCTGCACTGCTGGAAAGTGCAAAGGAAGGAGTCCTTTATACAGAACAGAACCACCAGCCTTTCAACAAAGCCTGTGTTGCTGGTGGGAAGATCATTTTGCTAAAGATGGCTCAGTGCTTCAGGTGGGTGTAGTAATATTAGCTCTGCCACAACAACACAGCAGCACTATGTTATCAGTAAAGCTTCCTTATATTATAAACAGCATAATGAATTAATGTTGCATATCTGGAATGACTTCCTAGTGGTAAAGAATTAAAGTTGTTTTGTTTGCTGTTGTCTTTTAAATGCTTTTTCACTAGTACATAGTGATATGCAGCCATTAAAGAGGATGGCTATGTAACTACTTGTTTCCAGAGATGAGATTCTGGTTGTGCAGTACTGTACTTATGATGGCAGCCTTTATGAAATAAACAGTCTTTTCTAGAGACTAAGATATGTGGAATCATGTAGGAACAGCTCCACCTTATGGCACATGACTTTGTGATTAATCTCCACGTACCACGTGATAGTTTGCTGCCATTTCAGGGATCTGAGTTAAATTACTCTGTCCTTTGGCAGATGGAAACTTGCTATAAAATCCACTCTACACTACGAGCATAAACTGCGTTAAAAGATGATGTGAAAATGTGAGAACCTTATGTACGTTAGGATTTACTACGCAGTGAGCCAGAAAGTTATATGTATATGTTTCTGGCATTCTGTGTGAAGCCAAGGGGATAAGCCACTGTCTTCTGTTCAGGAGGAGGGACCAAGTGGCACTTTGCTACTATAAAGTCAGACTATATAGTGCATTAGCAGTGGTATTCTAGATCAGTCAAAGGTATTCTTGTAGCCTGTTAAAAATGCAGGTGCACTTGGCATGAATTTTGTAAACGGAAACACAGTAATTCATAAAATGCAAGTCTGTATCTCTTAAATTCAGGATAACTGTGAGTAGTGTTGTATTTACTACTTTAGGAACTTGTCTTGATTTTGTAGCACTTCAAAGAGTTAGGAAGGATTTCATGTCTCCAGGTACTTAGAAGCTGCTTGTACAGCCCAGCACAGGCTACAGTCCACAAAGGAAAAGTTCCAAAGCACTACAAGGCTAGATGGTGATTTTGAGGAAGACATATCATGCTATGGCTCAAAGAAGTGATGTCGTAAAACGGCATCCTTCCAGGACAAAGATGTAGTAATTTAAAGATAAAATACAGTCTGTTGATGGAAAAATAGAAATTCTATGTATTTGGCTGCAAGAAAAGAGGACTGGACTTCAAGACATATCCCTCTTACACTTGCATCCTGTCTTACTGTGCTGTCCTCTACTCCCTTCCTAGAACTTACTAGGAACTGGCTTTTGTGCCATAGAGAATCCAACTCCTGCAGATCTTCTGAGATTGTGCTTTTAAAAAAGTGGTATTGCTAATAGTGGTTTGACTAAGTATCATTCAAGTAAAGTCTTGAGCTGAGTCTAGACACACATAAAAACTGAACACAGAGCAAGAAGTTGATCCTTGGTTAATTTTCATTCACTGTTACACAGATCAGGAACAAGGATTTGTATGGTACTCCAGAGAAAGGATGTCCACCGAGCAGTGAGCTTGCCTTTTCTTCTAAGTGAGCAAAGCTCACGGCCCCAGGACGTTCACTTGAGATTTGAGGAGGAGGGAATGTAGGATGTTCAAAGAAAATGAGAGGGACTATGATTCCAGGCTACAAATGACTTAGGGCTGACATTTTCTAGGTGAACAGGTGACAATAGTTGCTTGCTCTAGTTATTAATGTATTAAATTAGCATCTTAGTGCCTTGCTCTAGGCTGTAAATTAAGTCACTTCTGTGGACTTAAAACTAAACGTAGCCAAATAAGACATCTTAATTGATCATTTAGATTTGAGGAGGAAAAGAGCATTGTCGGAACAAGAGAAGGTGGTGTTAAAATGTGATGACAAAAGTGAATTTTTAGTGATCTTCCATATTTACTTTGCAGTAGTTTGTTCTATAAGTATCTAGTGTTGAGTACAAACCGGTTTAATTCCTTCCCTAAAAGAACAGTACTGAAATGCTGATTCAGGAGTCCATTGTGTGTTTAACATGGGATGTGGGGTAATCCGACATTACACTTTCTTCTGAGTCCTTGTGGCTTTCAAATGAACCCCTGAGGAAAACTCGGATGACAGCAGAATTGCATCATGCCAGGGAGAACTGAAACAGCTGTTCCTGTCTCTAAACTTTAGTTTATGGCTACTCTCATCTCTGCAGACAGACAAAATAGGAAACTACTTGCTCTGTTTACAGTGGAGCCTGCAACTGTTCCAGTCAGTAATGTGAAGGGTGGCTTTCAGTTTTGCTTGCTTTGGTCACAGCCTCTGTTTGCAGTATATACTTTTTTTGTTCATTGACAAATGCTCATATTTTCTTTCACCATAACATAACAAAATGCTTGTTATTCTACTACTCGCTTTCTTGCCTATTTTGGCTAGGCTTTACAGGCATGCTTCAGCAGTCTGTCTATGGAAGAAAGAATTAATCAGCTTAGCTGGCTGTTTCAGTGTCTCAGCCACGTCTGTATTGTAATGAAAGAGTCTGTATGCAGGGACACAGTTAGGAAAATCAGTGCAGGGAATGTAATTATAAATATCAAATAGTGGGCAGCACTGCACTAATCCCTCAATAATTGAGGTGATTATGGATTACTAGACAGCTTGAATTTTCAAGGTACTAGCTACTATTCATCAGTGAAGGCAGAAACATTGTGGGAACTTCCCAGCAATAAGACCTCAATGGCTGTACTTGTGCTCTTAAGCAATCTTGAAGGGGATAACTCTTTCAGGTACAGGCTTGGCTCTCTAGATGACTTAAGGTGGTAGATGACTTGAGTGAATGGAAATGGTTCAGAAGCAGGCATCTAAACATGAAATGTGGTTCTAAAGCATGTGGTTTTTCATGACGAATTTACATTCTAATGACGAATTTTTATTCTCATTGCAGAGAATTCTCTTCTGTATTGCACGCTACATTGACCCAATCATAATGTGCAATGAGAGTACAAAACAAACTACTACCTGGATTTTTGACCAGTAATCTTTGACTGCTGAGAAGTTTGTTGTCTGTTTGCCTTTTTCTTTCCTTAGTTGGACCACGGGTATGCCCTCCATATGGCAGCCAAGGATTGCTTAAGTTCCGTTGTCAACCAGGATGTCCAAACACTGGCAGAAAGAGCAGTTTTCTATACCAGCGAGAATGACCCGGTGAGTTACTGCCACAACTGTTAGTGTCAGACAGCAGGTGCCTAAATTCCATCAGTCTGTCTGTGGACATGCTGGAGCCAGGAGTGCTTACTGGGATCGTGTTGTTCTAGTAAACGTAAGGGAAGGGAGTACACAGGCCTAGTAATAGGCATCTAGACCGTGATCCCCAGCCCAAAGGAAAACAGGCCATGGCTGCGCAGTGCACCTGCCTGGGTTTAAACAAGACAGGGCTGGTCCTCTGCCTGAAAGCTCCTGGGAACAAGTATTGATTCCTTCTCTGTAGTTGCATAGATAAGATAGACTGTGTGTTGTAGAAACTCAGATGCGGCTTAGCTCGTCATCAGACACCATTAATTTCAACTCCGGGGTTGTATTCTTCCCTGTCTAACCTCCCCAAATTGGCTATGAAGGGGGATAAAAACACACCCCAGATGACCTCAGCACAGCTCTCCAGCATCATAATTCCAGCCTCACACTCTCCGTCTCAGGCACAAAATGAAGTGCAATAAATGAATGGAATAAGCCTCTGAGGTGCTTTTCTGCTGCCTCTGTAATTGGAGTCTTTCAATACTGATTCCTCTGGGGTCTCTATGGAAACAGCAGCATGCAGATGATCTTACTCACGTGATGCGAGTGTCTCTATAGATTGCACAGAAGAGTCCAGATGGCAAGGATTGTCCCCACTGTCCTGTGCCTACCATTTACGTTGCCAGGCAACTGGCTTTGGCATTCTGACTTCACATGCCTGATGTTTGGCGACAACCGCCATTGCTTATTAATTTATCAGATCAGCGTTCCTCAGACTTGCTGTATTGCAGGTCGCGTATTGCAGCAAAGAGGCTCCGCTGGCTCGCTTCATCAGCAAACCCGATAGCTCTGACTGCACTCGTACTTGTGCACCATAAAGTCCCATTAAAAATGGATTAAGACTACCAGATGAAAACTAAATTTTTAATAAGACTTAGCTTTTATATACCTTTCCGTTAGCAAAGCTCAAAGTTACTAAACATGAGGATAAAGATACTGACCCACTTTACAGATGTAGGAGCTGAAGAGTGAAGGAATTTGCCCAAGGTTATGCAGCAAGTCAGTGATGAAACTGAGAATGAAAATGGTCTCTGGAGTACTGCTCCTCTGTTCGAGTCCATAGATAACACTGCCATGCAGAAACACTGGTGCTGTTAGTCTGTGTCCAACACGTGCAGGAAAACTCTAGGGAATCCAGCCCAGAGTCTGAAATACAGCTCTGCGTGGAAAAAGACTGAAGTCTCTCTTAATAGTTCTCCTCTTTAGTCTATCTCCAAGTAACATCTCCTTACAGCAGAGGAGCTATAGACTAGGTTTTCTAAATTTTCTTCCTGTTGCTAAGATGTACTGACCAGTAAACACCAGATTGGCAACTCAAGCAGCTTAGAGAGCAGTTTGCTGAAATTACCAAATGGTTTCTTCATATAAATAGTTTGGCAAACTGGTGGGTACCTCGAATCCTCCAGCTGTACCAAAGTAAACCATACAGTCCAGGACGCATTGACCTGTCCTCAGTAAGGTACAGAATAGGGGTGTAGTTACCATGGGCTTTTCAGAGTGGAGGGGGGGCAGAATATAAGAGAACAGGCATGTTGCATGCTGGAAGACTGAAATTCTGGTCTGAGGAAAGGGAGGGAGACTAACACATAGCAAGAATCCTGGGGCTAGAGAATTCCCGGGTCTGCAATAGAGCTGCAGCAGTTGCGCATGAAGAGTCTGTCTGGGAAACTGGGAAAAGCAAAATAGTCATAGCAAAAGCAGGCAGTAGTCAAACCTGTAGGTACAGCTGTTCACACGGTTACAGGTGAGGAATACAGCAGGCAGCCAGGTTAGGGTAGCACTACTCATCACAACCTTCTTTCCCCATCCATTCATTCTGGTTGAACCATTTGTTAGCCAGACTGCACAGGTGAACAACCAAGCCCACACCAGTATTGTTCTGGGCCTCAGTAAATTAAGCCCTGGGTCTACACCAAAGCTAATAAGGAAAGTCTGGATCAGCCCCCAAATCTGCTAAAGCTGGCAGAAATAATGACTGCTTCTTTTTCTTTCTGAATAGTAAATAAAACTACTTTTCCTGGATCATTATTATGCAAAATAAAGAAAACAAGGAAGTTGTTATATTCTGATTCCATCTCAATCAAAATGGAAGCAAGGGATTGGCAAGAATATAGGGAAGGATTTTTTGACTTTAAATCCATGGAAAAGTGCAGAAAGCGCAGAGCAGGACATGACATAAGCTTCAAAGCTTGGCACAAAGCTGCTAAAAAAGCCAGACAAAGCTTGGCACAAAAGCTGCTAAAAGTCACACAGGAAATACTGCAGAATAGTCTATCTACTGTGCTAATTATACAAGACACAAAAACTGATGAGTAGACCACGAGTAAATAAATAAGTGCTTTACAAGTATTGGATGGTAGGAAAATAGAATAAATAATGAAGGGAAAAAACAAGGATGTATAACAAGGCATGAAACGGGTATTAAATTTTCAGATACTAGTAACAACCACTTCTTAGAGTGTGTATTCAGAGATCTTAAAGTAGTCATTATAAATAAATGCAGAATGATTCAAGTCCGCTGGAGGAATAATACTGACCACTTATGTCATAACAAGGGTCTTGAAATTAGTGCCCCAGAAAACAGCGTTCTCAAGCAGCCAGTACTAGTTAAAAAGGAATTACTATTGAGAGACAGCAAAGAACAAACCAGAAAACATAATTTTGTCTCAACTTAAAGAAAGTAAATTTGAATCTATCAGATAACTCAAAAGGGAATCATACTACTGTTAAGATATTGTGGTGACCAGAAGTACAAGTGGACTAATAAAAGATTAGATAAATTCATAAAGCATAAGGCCACCGGTGCCCACAAAGTACAATGGTTCATATACAAGCTCAAGAAATTCCTTTATTGTTTATTGCCAGGTAGGGTATCTTTTCTTTAGACGACTCCTTAGCATCTGCCAGTAGTGTCCTGATACTACAATTCCCGTTTTACTTTAATATGCTAGTTCTTCTGACTCTTAGTAAGTAGATACTCGCTTTGATTGAGTGTTCCCTCCCTGTTCCATTGTCACAGGCCTTCTGTATCCAGAAAAAAGGTATCAGACTTTCCCGAGTGTTACAGTTTGCATTTTACCTTCCCAGGCCAACCACACAGAACACCACGAGGGTCGCCATTATAGCATTCCACTTGAGGAGGTGAAAGCTGTCTTTCCACATGGACTGCCCTATCGCTTCCAGCAGCAGGTACTTTGTCTTAGAGCAGATTTGTAGGGAGTGGACTGGTATGTGGGAAGAACCAGATCCATTGCGTAACTACGATGCTTTCCTGTTGGAATAAGAGAGTGACATGCTGCAAGAATGCAATTATTCCTGGTCCTTACTGTTATTTTCTACATCTAAAAGGTATCAGTCAACCTAACAATCAGAATAGCGGTAGAAGGCTGTGAGGATTCCACCTTTGGCAACATTCTATCCAGTATGTTTCATCTCTAACTTTTGAGTACATAGTAAATTACAGAAATATTTTCCACAGTTACCTTTCCGTATGAAACAGGCTGTCTCATGAAGGTAAGTTTATATCAGCAACAAAACATCTTCTTGATTTCTGTTGTGAGACAGATCATGCTGTGACTGGATCAGGCTTCGTAAGCAGCTAACAGAGACTGCCTACTTGAGTTTAGGAACAGATTTCCTATCTGTGAGTTAGTAATTTAGGTGGTTGACTTTTGATTCATTGACCTCGATCTCTGGGAAGGTGATGGAACAGCTAATCCTGGAAACCATTTCCAGGCACACAAAGGACAAGAAAGTCATAGGGGCAGTCAGCACGGCTTCACCAAGGGGAAGTCATGCTTGGCCAACCTGATAAACTTCTATGATGATATGACTGGCCTGCTAGACGAGGGGAGAGCAGTGGACATTCAGCCCTGCACAGTACCAGAGATGGAGTCATGTCAGGAACAGCTGTAGTGCGCCAGCACCCGGCTTCTTGTTCATGCTCTGTTCCTTTTCTCAGATTAAGACCTTCAATGAAGCCTGCCTAATGGTGCGAAAACCAGCTCTAGAACTTTTCACTTACCTGAAAAGCTCCAACTTTGCACACCCAGCTGTCAGATATGTGATCTGTATCTTTTATCGTTACTTGACGATGAAATGCAAATTAAGTGCAAGCAGGTGTGTTTACACAAATGAGGGTGATGTTTTGATCATATGCTGACCACTGTGGTTTAGTCTTCAGGAGGTGGTTCTACCACGTCCGTTGTCAGCAAAGCTAGTCCGAGAAGTTCATGAACCTCGTATACTTTTATTTTAAGCCAGATTTGGCTTATGGCACAGATCCATAAATAGAGCTATCAGCACAACTAAGGGAATGGGAATCATCAGCTCTGATACAGTGGGCTGGGAGGATAGAGAGGGAAGGAACTCTTTAAGCTAGGTTTGCTGCTGAACAAAAGCATGGTGGAACGCCATCCCTGCTTTTACGACCTTTGAACTTCCTTTATGCCTTTTGCGAAAGAATTACAGTCAAATATAAATTGAAGTGTTTTCTGGAGACTTTCCTTGACAGTCCATGTTGGAGATGGCGAGAAGGGAACAGGGAAAACCATGACTCTGTGTCACGTGGTTCACTACTGTGCAAGGCAAGGCTGGCTGGTGCTGCACATCCCAGATGGTAAGAACACCGATGCTGCCTGTGTTACTACATCAAATACACTTGCTGATCAGAAGATGCTCCTTCAAGTGAAAGGTGTAGGGTAGGCCACAGCAAATTATCTTTGTTTTTTCCATAGCGGAGAAGGCTTATAAAGCACAAACCCCCAAAATAAAGTAGATCATAATTAGTTATTTTCACATGCTTATAGTCAGTCTTTTTTTTCCCCACTGTTAACAAGTATGACAGGAGACATATTGTGTGTGGATCTGTGTGACCTCCTCTGTTCTCAAGGGAGAGTCTTGTCCGTTAAGGATGGCGGACTTTTCTTACCGGCGTAGCAGAATAAGGATGAGAGATACAAACACACACCCCACTACCCTACTCGTACAATTATTTTGACTGAAAAAAAAAGCAACTGTTTTCTTTTGCTTACAGCTCATCTCTGGGTAAAAAACTGCAGGGAGCTTATGCAGTCTTCCTATAACAAAGAACGGCTTGATCAGCCTTTGCAAGCATCTTCCTGGCTCAAGAACTTCAAAACCTCAAATGAGCGCTTCCTAAAAGAGGTTTGTAGAGCCTGTCAAGTTGTTTTGGTTAGTAGCTAAGAAATACCCACAGGATCATCTCCCAGGGACTGCATGTGCCTGTGCTTCCTGTCATTGAGCACCTTGACATGAATTCTAGATTTGCTCATTTTCGAGAAATGCTTCATGTATTAATGCACACGCTCATGTTGCATACAAACCCACAAGCCCTACCCTTCACTGGAATTCAATTTTTGTGGAAAAAGAAGTACTTTAAATCCCCCCTGTGGGGATGGCTATTTGCAATGAATACCTCTCCCACATTCTGCACTAGTCTTTAACACTGGCAAAGAACCAGGAATCTTGCCATCCAGACTTGCCAAGCTGCCTTTGCACTACTTTGTTCCCAGTTTAATTGTAGTTCTCTTACTGCAGATAAAAACACAAAAAAAATACATGTGGGGCAAACGAGAAAGCACGGAGGAGGGCAGACCGTTGGGTGAAGTGGTGGAGCAGGTAAGGAACAACAAGTGCGTCTGGCTTTGTCTCACCTTTTATTAGAAGATCCCATTATTGTGTATGTGGAACAAATTGCTTCTAAAGATCTTACAAATACCAGTTCTAGGAAATGGAAGGCATTTCCCTATCAACAAGGTGGCTACAAAAACCATTGTGGAAGATGTGATGGATCTGTAAAGGAAGCTGTACGAAGAACTTGGGTAGAAGCGAAAATTAGAATTTGAAAGTTTCTACTTCTTTGATGCTCAGTACCTTAGACCAGATTGCCCCTTTGAAAGGAACGAACAGAGCGTTGACTGTCGTTTTATCTTCCTTCCCCCTTAGAAAGGACAGACAGTGCCCAAAGTTGCCAGCGTTATATGTTAACAAGAAAACCAACCTGAGTTACGTGCTTTTTCCTACTTGAAGGGTTTAGCTCGCGTGAGAAATGCCAGCGATGCTGTAGGGGTTGTGCTGAAAGAGATAAAGCAGCAATGTCATCTTGGCTCATTCCGACTTCTTGTGGCAGTGGATGGCGTCAACGCGCTCTGGGGAAGGACTACGTTAAAGAAGGAAGACAAAAGCCCCGTAAGAAGCGATCTGCTCTGATGATATTTCTGCATTCCTACTGCAAGGGAGAGCAGGGGAGGGTGTTTTGTTCATTTTTAAGTTCTATAGTAATCCCTGAAAGACGTACGTTTGGCTTTGCCAGCTTGGAGGAACCTGCAAAATTCATATTGTGTTCAGACCGTTTTTACTGAAGAAAGTTCTCTCAGTAAGAAAAAAGCGCATCTGTGTCTTGTTACAGCATGAAAGGTCTGGGCATTTCTCTATGTAACATGACTAATGCTGAATGCTACAGTGCTAAGCCAAAGCAAAGAAAAAAATGTGCCTAAATGATGCAAATGATCCTTCCAGTCTAATTTAAAGTACGGGAGGGGAATTTATGTCTCAGATAGAAACTGCTGGCAAAAAAAGTGATACAGACAATCTTCACCAGGTTTCTCCAGAGGAGCTGACGCTCGTGTACAATCTAAGGAAGATGATGATGAACGATTGGGTGAGTTTGGTCTGTACCTTTGGGTGTGTTATTCTCAGCTTTTAAAGCTACACACTGATAAGCATAAAACTACAAATCTAACATCACACTGTTCCTTCAGCGACGGAGAGCGTGAGCATAGTGCGACTGTTAAGGGGTAGTATCTCATCAGTGTTTCTGACATCATCTGAAGAGAATAAGAACAGGGCAAATATGCTTTTCTTGATTACCATGCCAAACTCCAGTTTATGACTCATGCTTTTAGAGCTAAAGGTATTCAGAGCTAATGACACTTTGTTTTATGATTTTTTGAACTAATACGACCTTTCAGTTCCTAAAAAACACTGCTGAACTTTTTGCTATAGGAGGTCAATTCCTTCTGCTTCTTTTCCAATCCCCTGGGTGCTAATACCTCTAACAAGTAGTCTTCAGATTTGAAAGTATACAGAAAAGTCCTTTTTAAAGTATTTCAGTTGTTTCAGCTGAAAGCTATTTATAGTTAGGAATGACACTTTTAAACGTCAGCACTGGAAGCCCCCGCGCTGTGTTCCCTGGGCCGCATGTGTGCTTGGAGTAGCCTGGGTTAATGTAGTGAGGAACATTTTAATAAGTCCATTATACAGAATTTTGCAATTGAAGTAACTATAAGATCAAAGAAGAAAATATTGTTTAGAATCAGTCTGTAACTATTTCACAAATACTACGTTTGCAGCTAAAAGGGTTTCTCATCTACCTTTCCTTTAGAACGGAGGTGCTATTGTGACAACCCTCAGCCAGACCGGCTCTCTCTTCAAGCCCAGTTCTGCCTACTTGCCCCAGGAATTGCTGGGAAAGGTGAGCCCTGGCCTCTCTTTTTTTCCCCCCTTCACACTGGGAAACAAACAGACATCCCGGTTTGGGATCTGCCTCC